GTGGTGTTGTCTGAGAGTGAGCTGACTGGACAGGGCTAGGCTGATGGTGTATATGGAACAGGAACCAGGGACTTGACTATGTGATGGACCCCTTTGCCATTCCTTGGAGGGAACGCATTCCTACTGGGCTTACTCTAGGGCAAATAGCTGAGATGTTGGGAGTTCCAGGAATCTGATTTTCGGTCCTAAGGGCCAGGTAACCCAGATCAGCTGTCTTTGAACAGCCGGCATGGGGCTCCATGTCACGTTGTATGGTCCTTCCACTCGTATGCCTGTACCCACAAAAGGGGCCCTTCAGCTTTCCATCCGTAGCAGTCAGTGGGCATCCCTAGGGCTCCACCTAGGTGAGAAGTAGCAGGGAGAGGCAGAGGGGCTGTGTGCCCTGTGGCTCCCCCAGGTGGTGTTTTGCTAAAGATCACAGAGAAGTGTGCCTCAGGATTGTCTTTCTCTTGATTTGTAAGAAAAGGCCTCTTGGCCTGCTCTTCTGGGCCAGCTGTCCAAGTGGCATGGTTGCTGCGGAAGACATGTGTGTCTGTGTTACTGTGTGCCCTGCTGGGAGATCTCTGAGCAGGAGGGTGTCAGTCTACTATGTCCCCATCCCCAGCCCCTCTTAGGTGAGTGGGTAGGCCTGGGTAAGATTGCTTCTGCCTGAGCTGGGCTTTGCTCAGCACTCTGACCCGGAAATCTAGTGCCCATTGTTTGGGTTCCCCATTGGGTGATGTCAGCTGAAGTGATAGTTGTTGAAGGTGCTCTATCTTTCCACAACTCTCTCTGTCTTGCTTGCTGGAGGGCTTGAGACATGCTAGCTTAGGTGTCATATGTGGACAGCAGGTAGGGACCTGCTGTGTCTGGCCACAGGGTTTCCACGATGCAGATTTGAGCCTTAGAGGCCACATGCACATGGTTTTTGGGGCATAGTGTGTCTGTGGCCTGCCGGTTCTGGAGGGACCATTTTCTCAGGCTTCGTGGATGAGGAAATTGTCCTCAGAGGTCCACACAGCAAGCATGCTTGTTGTGAGGGAGGCCAGGGCCTAGAAGTGATTTCCATCTCTCCCTGTAGTCAGCAGGCACTTGGGAGCTGCTTTTCATTGCCCAAGTACACTGGGATTTCCTGATGAGAAGCAAGTGGCCTCTGCCTCAATGGCCAGGCACTGCCTGCATTTTGTGGTGGGTTGGATTCTTACTTGTGTTGTTAGAAGATCCCCTGGCAAACATGTCTGCCTTTGTGTCCTAGAATTCTCTATCTGGTGGCCATTGTGTGCCTTTCATATTAGGTTTTATTTTCCCAGGAAGAGGAAAGTGGGGTCAAGTCTCACCCTTGTAGGGCACCCCACCCATTACCCAAATGAACCTTCAGAGGCCATGCATGGCTGTGCAGTGAGCTTGGGATCCCTCCAGCAAGGTGACCTTTGGAGGGGTAGATGGTGTTCCTGTTCACCATCGCAGGAGGTCTGAGCTGGCATTCTGTAGATGTGCGCCCTGGTGTGCTGCTACAGTGAGATGGGCCGGGGCTGGCATGCAGTTTTTGCCTGGGGAGGGTACAGTACACTGTGCTGCAGGGTTCTCCTCCTCTTACCTTACAAGCACAGGTCCCTTGATATGCTTAAGGTTGCAGTACAAATGCGACTGTGTTCCCATGTGCTCTTTTAGGAGGCCTCTCTGGGGACAGATGTGACTCTCTCACACCTTCATCCCGTGGTACTGTTGGCCTATCTGAGCCTGGTGATGTTGATGAATGTCGGAGGCAGGCCTTGCTCAGCCCAGAAATCCCAAACTACTGTCCCCATAGGTTGGACTGCCCATCCAGATTGCTCAGCATGATATTGGCAAAAATAGGATATATTGGGAGAACTCACTCTTAATCCCAAGGTATCCCACTGGATGAGGGTATAAGGCTCCCCTGGTGAGTGGAGACCTTGGACCTCCCAGAGCGGGTACATTCTATTTGGCTGATGGTAGATGGTTCAGTGGAGGAGGTTTGAGCCACACATGCCACACGAATGTAGTCTCTGTGGTGGCCGTGTTGTGTCTGCATTGCGGGTGCATGGGGTCCATTCTGTCAGGCTTTGTGTGTGATGAAATTCTCTTCGGAAGTCCACTGGAGAAGTGTACCTCATGTCAGTGAGGCAAAGGTCTAGAAATCAATTTCCTGTCTTCCTTAGTAGCTGGAAGCCTTGTGGGACCTGCTTGACATTACCTGAGTCTCCTAGGGACATCCTGAAAACAAGCCAAGGTCCTGTTCTTCAGTAGAAGTGATTGTGTCCATTTGTGGTAGGTTGGGCCAGTACTGCCTTCCACAGACCTGTGCCCCTTGAAAAATGTCTGCATTACTGGCTTGAGATTCTGCGGGCTGTGATTCTCTGACTTGTGGCCATTGTGATCCACATTAGGGTTTTCCTGTCAAGGAAACAGGGTTCCAATTTCACCTCACAAGGGCACTGTACCCAGAAAAACCCTCACCTGCTTCTTTAGATGTGGTGCATGCCTGTTAAGGAAGCAAGGGGTTCTTTCATCAATGGTGTCGTTGGCTTGGAGTATTTAACCCTGATTGGTGTGCTGAGGAGGCTGAAATCTGTAGGTGGTTGATCTAGGTCCCTTGGCGTGCTACTGTGTCCTGGCAATGGCCAAGGCAAGGTTTTAGGGGGCAGTGAGTAGGCAGATGCTGATGGACTCCCTTCCCGGTTCTTAGCCAGAGGCAGGCAAATACACATGTAATCCAGCACAGCAGCATTCTTCCCCTGTGCACATGGAAGGAAATATACATGTGGAAGCTCTTGATGACTCATTGCCATCCCACCAATGGCAAGCATGTGACTGAAAGTACTGGCCAGGCTGGCATGGGACCTGTGGAATGGATGCATTTCTATGGCCTCACGCGTGCTGTTTTTCCATGTTCATTACTCAGGAGGAGTTGTCAGGGTGAAAATGACTTCTGCTGCTGGGCCTCATTCCAGGGGACCAGAATAGCTGGGACTGCTGCATTCCTTCTGTCCTCTCAATGAGGTCTGGGCCTGAGGATGACTCAGTATAGTAAGCATTTTCTTCTGCAACTTATGATCTTTGGAAGGCTTTGTGAAGGCCCCAAGACTTCTGAACCCTCAGGCTGTAAACCACCCATGGGGTTTAACTCCTTGTACAGACAGTGCACCTGGGGCACAGTGGCTTGGACCTCGGTCTTTCAGGGCCTTCATGGTCTTTTAGTTCTCCTTGAACTGCCAGACACTAGAGGCATTGCTGCATGTGTTTGGATCGATGATGACACCCCAAAAAACATTCCTTGGGAAAGCTGAACAAAATGAGTAAAAACTGAACTGTCGTTCTCATCGTAACTGAGGTCAAGCACATGGCCTCTTGCAGAGACTGTAGGAGCAGGGGTCCACATACGCGGGCTCATATTCCTAAGATCATGGATCAGCCTCGTATTTCCAGAGGCCTTAGGAACATGGCTCAGTTGGTAGACACAAGCTAGGCGAGACCTGGGTTGAATGTTTCTGGATCTGTGTGTATTCATGTAGGTGAGGAAATGCTTAGCAGGCCTTGCTGAGTTTTCCTCAGGGCCCCTTATGGGCTTTAGTAGTGCCCATTGCTGGGCATTGTTGAGCCCTGAGTCTCCTCAGGCCCAGGGCTTTCTTCTTCTGGGAGAGGGCAGACCCAGTCCTGGAGGAGACAGTGGTGCTGTCTGAGAGTATGTTTACTGTGGACCGGCCCTAAGTTCAGGTGTATGTGAAACAAGAAAGGGAGACTCAACTTGGCTGTAGGTTCTGAATTCAGGCCCTATGCTCAGGGTAACCCGGACCAGGGGTCACTAAACATGGCCCAGGGCTCTAAATCACACTGTATTTGGTCCTTACACTTGCATCTCTGTGCTCACAAATGGTACCCTTCAATTTTCTGTCCGTAGCAGTCTGTGGGGATTCTTAGGATATCCTATGGGAAATAGCAGGGAGCGGTAGAGGAACTGTGTGCCTGCGGCTCCCTCTGGTGGCCAACATCATTTTTTGCTGAAGGTCACAGAGCAAAGCCTGAGAATTGCCTTCCTGTTGCCTTGCAATAAAAAAGTGCCTTGAGAGGCCAGGGATTTAACTCAGCAGCATAAGTGCTTGCCTGGCAAGCCTGAGGTCATGAATTCGATTCCCGGTACCAAAAACCAAAAAAATAAAAATAAAACCAGGTGCCTTGGTGTGCTATTCAGAGCCGCTGTGCATGCTGCAAGGCTGTTTGTAGAAATATGTTTGTACTCCTTTGTGCTCTGTTGTGGAATCTCTCAGCAGCCAGGTATCACTTTCTCCTGCTTTTACCACCGGCACTGCTGGCTCGTGTGGGTCTGGGTGAAGTTGGCTTTTGTTCTAGTCAGACTGTGTGCACTGGGCTAGTTCCAGTACCCACTTACTGGGCTCCCCATCGGGTACTTTCAACTGAAGTGAGAGTTGCTAGGGGGCAGGGGGCTCTGTCTTTCCTCTCCTCTCTATCTTACCTGATAGACTTCCTGAGCCATCCTAGGATGGGTGTAGTCTGTGGATACCCAGGTTGGGACATTCTGTGTCTGGCCATGCAGTTCACATGAAGCAGGTTTAAGCCCTAGAGGCCACATGCACATAGTGCTTGGGGCATTCTGTCATGTCTGGGTCACAGGCACAAGGGAGTCCACTGAGACAGGTTTCATGGGTGATGAAATTCTCAGAGGTCCAAATGACAAGAGTGCTTGCTGTGAGTGAGGGCAGGGCCCGGAAGGTGATTTTCTGTCCCTCCCTATGGTTGGCAGGCATGTGGTAGCTGCTTGTTATCACCTGAGTCCACTGGGGACATCCTGATGAGAGGCCAGCACCCCAAGCTTCAGAGGCAGATAGTTGCATGTATTTTGTGGCAAGTTGGACCCTGGTTCTGTCCTCTCTTCAGAATCCCTGGCAGATATGTCTGCATTGGGGAATGGGGTCCTGTAGCTGATGGGCTTTGCCTTCCATGATAGGTTTTTTTTCCAAAGAAGAGGAAAAAGGGGTCAAGTCTCACCCTGTAGGGCACCACAACTAGTTACCCAATCAAATTTTTAGATGTCACACATAGCTAGTCAATGAGCTTGCAATCCCGCCCACAGAGGTCGATGTTGAAGGGGAAGATGCTCTCCCTGTTCACTGTCCCCAAGGCATCTGAAAGAGGGTGCTGTCCATGGAGGGTAATTCATGTACTGCTGTAGTCTAATGGGCCAAGGCTGGGCCTAGCAGTGCAGCATGTTTCTAGGGAGGGGCCAAAAAATCACTTTCCTGCTTCTTTGCTACAGCCAAGAAAGACACACATGTAGGGAAGCCCACCCAATGTCTGTCCTGTGTGTACACAGAAGGAAACATATCCCTTCAAATGAGTATGTTGGAGGTATCATAGCAAGGACAAGTAGATAACAGAGTTAGAGAAAGGAAAAGGGCAGCTTTCCATGGGTGAAATGCCTGCATTTCTTTCCGTCAAATGTGGAGCCATGGAGTACCACAAGCCCTGCGGCTTCCCACAAAACACATGGATGGCCAAGTATAGTAAACGTTTTGTGGTGCACGCTGCA